CTCCTCAACTGTAGCCATGCCAGTCATATCTGTCTCCTGGAGAGCAGCAAGTAAGTTGTTTCTTCTCAGGTTGATTGAATTAAGCCCATCAAGGCTGAGAAAGAAGCTGGAAATTCACCATCCAAGGTTATGATGAGTAAGCCATTTGTCAACTCGGGCTAGGACCAATATTTTAATAACATTTGATTATTTCTGAACAGACGTCTTGACTCTCCTTGATGATCGGTGGGGGCTGTGGCCAAATGAAGGGAGTGCAATTGAATTAGAGAGTTGAGATGCTTTATAGGATTCAGGTGGACAACTGTGTCCTTAGGGCTGATGGGGAACCAAGATACTACCCTTTTGGGAAATACACAGAGGACTGAGGAGTAGTACAACTGAGCCAAAGAAATCTTGGTTTATGTTAGATTAAGGTGGATGGATGATCAGAAAAAGAGTCAGCAGGAAAAGTCATTGCAAATGTAGTGGACCTAAGAAATGAGAATGTTCAGTACAAGGAAGAGAACTTCTTCCTGGTTCGTGCATCACATTAAGGCAGACATGTCAAACTCATGACGTCACGCGACGTATCGGAGCTTTTTCCCCATTGCCGGCAATGGGGTGGGTGCGGTTTCGTCATTACGCATCCGGCCCATGGGCCGGCAGTCTGACACCCCTGCATTAAGATATGGCTTGCCTTGTCTTAAGGGGTTAACCTAACGGAAGAACATAAGAATTGTCGTATAAATCAAGCAGATCTCAGATTTTATTTCCAGTTTGAAGGTCATAATACAGCCTGAGCAATACAGGTAATCCTTGAATTGCAACCATTCATTTAGTGACTGTTCAAAAGTTACAACAGCACTGAAAAAAGTGACTTAGGACCATTTTTCACACCACTGTTGCAGCATCCCATTCATCACGTTATCAGAATTCAGATGCTTGGCAACTGACTCATGTTTATGACTGTCGCAGTGTCCCGGGGTCACGTGATCCATTTTTGTGACCTTCTGACAAGCAAAGTCAATGGAGAAGCCAGATTTACTAACAACTAGGTTACCAACAACAGCTGCAGTGGTTCACTTAACCTCTGTGGCAAGAAAGGTTCTGAAATGGGCCAAAATTCACTTAATGAATGTCTCTCTTAGTGACATAATTTTAGGGCTCAATTGTGGTCATTAGTTGAGGACTGATGTACCAGTCCTGAACTTTTGAGGTCTCCCTACCTAGTGCAGTTGAAAGACTTGTGTATATTACCATCTTAGATGAAGTCTAGCATGGAAACCCACAAAGCCTGAACAATTTAGATCAGAGTGTCCAAAGCAGGCGTATCTCACATTTTTGCAACAGTCACTTAAACAGCAATTGCTTATTTTTTGCTTAAGCAGCTCTGAAAATCTGACCTCAAAATTGATTTGGATAGGTTAATAATTCTGGATGGACAACTGAGTCCTTGAAGGAACTTCTCTATGGACATATGGACATCTCAAAAATCCAAGGGTTGACCTCCTCTTTGTGGCAGCCCCTTAGAAATTAGAAGACAGCTATCCTGTTGTCCCTAGTTCTTCTTTTCATTAAACTAGACATACCCAATTCCTGCAACCGTTCTCCATACGTTTCAGCTTCCACTCCCCAACTCCAAAACAGAGTAGACAGTCCCAGTTTTAATCAGCCCAGCAGCTATATATAGAGAATAGAGCTGGAAGGGACCTTGGAGGTTTTCTAGTCCAGCCCACTGCTCAAGCAGAAGAACCTATATCATCTCAGACAGGTGAATGTCCAGTCTCGTCTTAAAAATCTCCAGTGACGGAGCACCCATGACTTCTGGAGGCAAGCTGTTCCACTGGTTGATTGTCCTCACTGTCAGGAAGTCTCTCCTTAATTCCAGGTTGCTTCTCTCCTTGATCAGTTTCCAACCATTGTTTCTCATCCTTCCCTCTGGTGCTTTGGAGAATAATGTGACCCCCTCTTCTTTGTGGCACCCCCTCAAATACCAGAATACTGCTATGATGTCTCCCCTATTTCTTCTTTTCTTTAGACTAGCCAAACCCAAGTCCTGCAACAGTTCCTCGTATGTTTTAGTCTCCAGGCCTCTGATTATTTTAGTTGTTCTTCTCTGAATTTTTTTCCAAACTCTCAACATCTTTTTTGTGACATGGTGACCAAAATTGGCTGCAGTATTCCAGGTGTGGCCTCACTAGGGTTTTATAAAGCGGTACTAATACCTTGTGTGAGCTTGATTCTATGCCTCTGTTTATACAACCCAGGATTGTATTAGCTTTTTTGGCTGCTGCTGCACACTGCTGGCTCATGATTAAGTGATCGTCCACTAGGACTCCAAGGTCCCTCTCACAGTCGCTGTTTTTAAGCCAGGTCTTGCCCAGTCTGTACTTGTGCCTTTGATTTTTCCTGCCTAAATGTAAGACTTTGCTTACATTTGGTGAGCAATCCCAAATGCAGCAGTGAGTGGGACAGTTGGGGTTTGAGCTGTCTTCTCCATCTCCAGGAAGAGTGGAGATATAGCAAAGAATCATCTTAAGGTGGATCTTAAGGTGGATAATTTGCCCTGAACACATCTGATTCTGTGCCATCAAGTCATTTATGACTCTTAGTGATCACATAGATTTTCTTCACGATGATCTGTCTCTTAGTCTTCAAGGCTTCTGAAACTGTACTGATATTTAAAAATAAAAAATGGGGAAACTAACAGGTGCAATTCCAGTTAAATGGCCACGAGAGGGCAATGGTCCCTCACTTCTCTTAAGCATTCAGACCCATATTCTGCTGATGGGGGATAATTAAATCAGTTCCCTCAAGATAGATGCAGGATATTTCATTCTCCATCATGACATCGGGCCTAAAAGCTTCTAGTTCAGGGATGAGAATCTTCTGGGCCACATTAATTACATCAACATCAAGATGCAACTTGCATTCGTTTGGCTTTTCCCTTTGCACCTTACCGAAAGTTGCAGAATGCAGGGGTTTATGACTCAGCCAATGATGATTTATTGGCTAATTGATTATTTCTTAAATAGCTTCGGGTGATAAATGAAGCTGGCTCACAGTAACTGTGCAGAGTTTTAGACAGGTAGTAAAACTACTTATCTAGTCTTGGCTGGTTTCAGAAGATAAGCAGGCTAAAGCCTGCTAAGTACTTTACATCAGGAGATCTCACAGCTGATGGCTAAACTGGGAAACTAAACTTTTTTTTTTTAAGAAGACAAATATGGTAGTAGTAACTCACTTGCATAATGGTTCAGAAATGTGTAAAAAAATAATTAAAAAAAAACCTCTGCCATGAAAATGGCACAGGAAGTGAGCTCAGCAGAGAAAACGGGGCTTGTACAATGTTTTCACAAAAATGTTATTAGAACATGGAATCCCAGGGCTGAAAGGGACCTTGGAGATCTTCTAGTCCAACCCCCTGGTCAAGACAGAGTCCTTATTCCAACCCCATCACAATTGTCCAATTTATTTTTATAAACCTCCAGCGATGGAGCACCCACAACTCTAGCAGGCAAACTATTCCTTTGATTACTTGCTGTTACTGTCAGGAAATTTCTCCTTTATTTTGGATTGGATTTCTCTTTGACAAGCTTCAACCCATTACTTTTTGTCCTGCCCTCTAGTGCGTTGGACAATTAGTCAGTCCCCTCTACTTTGTCATAGTCTCTTATGTACTGGAAGATAGTTATAATGTCCTCCTTAATCCTCCCTCCCTCCCTCCCTCTCTTTCTCTCTAATAATATTTTATTACTTTTCTACATTTACAATTCATAAGTTCTTGGTAAACAGCGTGTTGTTTGGGTCTATTTTTTTACTTAATAATACACATTAAATTCCTATTCTCTATCCCATTTTCCATCCATGGATAAAATACATCCCATATTTGAAAATATTCTGTGTCTTCTTTTTCTTTAATTTTCAGTGTAAGTCTATCCATTTCTGCGCAGTCCAGTATTTCTCGATTATCTCTTCTTCAGATGTTGTTTCTTCATTTTTCCAATACCGACCAAATATAGTTCTTGCTGCTGTTAATACATGCAACATTAAATATATACACTTTCTTTATCATATTTTCCTGATAATATACCTAATAATAGCTCCGGTTTAAAGTCTACATGTTTTTTTTAACATCATTTCTAGCCAAGTATGTATTTTTGTACAAATATTTTTTGCTTTAGGGCACGTCCACCAAAGACACGCCTGGTTTTTGATTGCACTTCCAACAGTTACTAGACATATTTTGAAACATTTTTGCTAATCTCACTAATCTTACCACTTAATCCTTCTCTTTGATAGGCTAGATCAGACATGTCAAACACAAGGCCCGGGGGCCAGATGTGGCCCGCAAAGTGGATTCATGTGGCCCGCGAAGCCATCCTGGAAACAGTGAGGGAACGGCCCCCGCTGCCTTGGCCTGGCCCAGGCCAGCTGGGAGCCAATGTACAATTTTGTGGTGGCCATCTATGCTGAAATGTATTCAGTCTTAGCTCCATAAGGCCCCCCCCCAATGGCCTGAGAGGAACAGTGAGGCTCCTCCAGTGGACCATGCCTCGGGACTTGCCCTGGTCCCACCCCCTTCTGCCAGAGACCCTCAGATCTATCCCACTCCTGCCCAGGCCCCCACAGGCACCCTTGACACGAATGGTGTAGACCTGCCCACACCCACCCAGTAAGCCAAACCTGCTCCATCCATGCCCACCCACGCCGCACCCACCCTGGCCACACCCACCTGGCCCCCTGAGGGCAACCGCAATGCTGATGTGGCCCTCAATGAAATTGAGTTTGACACCCCTGGGCTAGACATACCTGGTTCCCTTAACTGTTCTTCATAGGATTCCTCATCATTATTCATGATCATTATTAAAAAATCCAAGCTGCAACTCACAGAAGTGTTGCCTTTGAATGAAATGTGCTAGAAAAGGTGTTTCTGATTTGGGGTTAGCGTAAACTCCCTTCCAATTTCATCTCGGCCTCAATTCTTCTGGAACAGAATCAGCACAAATGCAATACAACCATTTCCCCAAATTTATTTATTGAAAAATACTTCTCGACATACAGTGTATGAATGCATACATTCCGAAAGCAAAATTTTGCTTTACTCGGTCTGGCTTAAATATATATATATATATGTGTGTGTGTGTGTGTGTGTGTATTCTCACCAAGATTTGGATTTAATAAAAAGGGATCCTTCTGCGGCTTAAATAAATGTATATATTAGGCTTTTGAAGTTCAGTCTTCTTTTTTATCTGAAATATTTGAATGCTCGTCTTCAGTCGGTAGGGGGCAGACTTTGTTCCTTGGCACCGGAGTTGTTTCAGAAGAAAGGGTGAGAGGGGTGACTTCCCCAGAAGTAAATTCCGCTTCTGTCAACAGCTGGCAGCGTTGCAGCTCAAGATATGTTGTAAACAGCTTGGCATATTCAGGATGCTTCTCAGCAAAATCCTTGAACTCTTCTAAAAATAAAAGAATGAACAACATTATTTAAAACATGGGACTTGTTAGAGGTTCACACTAAACCAGGAGAAGGCAACTCGTGGGGTAAACCAGATAGGAATCACAGTTGAGCCAAGTCAACTTTATTGGGAGGCTATGTTGACAGAACTTTGCAGGTCTGAAAATAAAAATCTTCCCCCTGTCTCCTTTACAGCTGGAGAAACTAGGGAGGATCTCTTCTAGATCTCTTGCCCTGCCAGTTATACAGCTGTGGGCTATGCTGCCTCTTATCTAGTTTATTGAAAAGAAGGACCAGGGGTGACACAATAGCAGTGTTCCAATATTTGAGAGGCTGACCCAAAGAAGAGGGAGTCAAGCTATTCTCCAAAGTGCCTGAAAGCAGGACAAGAAGCAATAGATGGAAACTAATCAAGGAGAGAAGCAACCTAGAACTAAGGAGAAATTTTCTGACAGTGAGAACAATTAATCAATGGAACAACTCTCCTCCAGAAGTTGTGGGTGCTCCATCACGGAGGTTTTTGAGAAGAGATGGGACAGCCATTGGCCTGAAATGGTATAAGTTTTCCTGCCTAAGCAAGGGGGTTGGACTTCCAAGGTCCCTCCCAACTCTGTTATTCTGTTATCTGGTTGTTCCCTTTGCAGCATCTCCTCACCCCGTCTCCCAAGTTCTTTCCCTCATCACGCCATTACATCACATCCCCAAAGTCTCCTCCCAACCGTACCCCCAAATCTTGATTTCCTTAATTCCCACTTGGCTTCCTTACCATAGGAGAGCTTGTTAGAGTGATCAGCATCAATCTCCTTGAAGAGGTTCGAAACATCGAGGTCGGGAAGCCCAAGTGACGAACGGATAATTAGGGCGAATTCATCTTCTGTTATGGTGCCATCTTCATCAATGTCAAAAAGCTGGAGGAAAAAGAAGAAGAGGGATTTGACTGGTCTGTTGGGAAGGAGGATAAAGCTCAGACATCTCAAATCAACCTTTGAATGCCTGGAAAACTCTTCCCAGATTTCTTTTAAAGCCGTCAGAGGAATAGCATTCTATCCACCCCTTTTGAAGACTCTGCTCTTCATCTTGGGTTGATGGAAGGCTTGGGTCCCATAAGGACCACTTTCCCTGCTATTAACTGCTCACTACTTTAGAGTCACGTAGCCCCATTCTCAGAAGAACGCCTAATACCACCCAAATCATGGCTTCCCCTCCAGGAAGAGCACCTTTTCTGATCAGAAGACAGCAGTGGTAATACATGTAGCAGTGCCAAGTGACAGCAACATCAGGAAGGAGGAGAAGCTGGAGAAGTAACAGAACCTGAAGGAGGAACTAAAGAGGATCTGGGAAATCAAGGCCAATTTGGTCCCAGGCAGCAGGAGCACTCAGGACTGTGTCTCCTAAGCTGGGAGATTGGATCCAATAGATCCCAGGAACACCTTCAGACTTTTCTATCTAGAAGAGTGCAGGGCTAGAAACAGCTAATACACAGTCTAGACCAGTGGTGGCGAACCTATGGCATGGGTGCCAGAGGCGGCACTCAGAGCCCTCTCTGTGGGCACGCGCGCCATCGTCCCAGTCCTAGGCCCTCAGCTTGATTTTATAAAACCTTTTCGCTTTAGGCCTCCGCCACCATGTGCAAAAAAAAAAAAGGTTCAATCAATCAGTCAATTTCAACTTCTCACGGGAAAAAAAAGATCTTGCATAGTTGGAATTGATTGGTTGAACTTTTTTGTTCCACCCAGTCTGCCATTACCACCGCAGCCACGCCCATCCAATGGGCCACACCCCCCATTGGCCACACCCAGTCAATGGGCCACACCCATCCTGCACCCAACAATGCATAAGTGGGTTTTGGGTTGTAGTTTGGGCACTCGGTCTTTAAAAGGCTCGCCATCACTGGTCTAGAACCCTCCAATTCCCAGGATTCCGGTAGAGGATCCCAAGTTGGGGAAGTCACAGACCACCATAGGAGTGAGAAAGGAAATAAATAAACATATGGCACACAGTTTTGTGAAGCTTTCACCTAATGAGATCTAGATAATGAAAGTTTATATTTCTTAGTCGAAAAGGATGCTGTCATCCCCTTTGGAGTGCTATAGACCAGGGGTCTCGAAACTTGGCAACTGTAAGACTGATGGACTTCAACTCCCAGGATTCCCCAGCCAACCATTCTGAGAGTTGAAATCCACAAGTCTTACAGTTGCCGAGTTTGAAGACCCCTGCTATAGACTAGCAAGGTTGCCCTCACCCAATGTTTCCAGGGATGATATGACAGGTGGCCAGGCTCTGCACAGAATCTCTCCACCCATAGATATGTTCTACCTGTAATTACAGATCTGTGCTGCACCTCAAGTCCTCAATTAAGAGGATTTACCTGAAATGCCATCTGGATTGTCTGCTCCGTGTTGGCAGGATTACACAGGACTGATAAACCGATCACGTATTCTCGGAAGTCTATGGTCCCATCGCCGTTCTGAACAAGACAATCACAAACGTCATTGAAGTTACTCAGTGATGCTGGCGTGTCTCTTTCCCGCACCCATTCGGTTGNCCAGCTTGCAGGACTGGCCTAGGGTAATTTTTAGAGGGGTTTTAATTATATTTTAATTGGACTATGTTTAAATATTTCTTTTTAATTAATTTTAATTTTGTAATTGTTATTGGTGTATTTTAATCGATTGTCAGCCGCCCTGAGTCCGCAAGGAGAAGGGCGGGATATAAATTGGATTTAATAATAATAATAATAATAAATAATAATGATCATTATTAAAAAATCCAAGCTGCAACTCACAGAAGTGTTGCCTTTGAATGAAATGTGCTAGAAAAGGTGTTTCTGATTTGGGGTTAGCGTAAACTCCCTTCCAATTTCATCTCGGCCTCAATTCTTCTGGAACAGAATCAGCACAAATGCAATACAACCATTTCCCCAAATTTATTTATTGAAAAATACTTCTCGACATACAGTGTATGAATGCATACATTCCGAAAGCAAAATTTTGCTTTACTCGGTCTGGCTTAAATATATATATATATATGTGTGTGTGTGTGTGTGTATTCCCACCAAGATTTGGATTTAATAAAAAGGGATCCTTCTGCGGCTTAAATAAATGTATATATTAGGCTTTTGAAGTTCAGTCTTCTTTTTTATCTGAAATATTTGAATGCTCGTCTTCAGTCGGTAGGGGGCAGACTTTGTTCCTTGGCACCGGAGTTGTTTCAGAAGAAAGGGCGAGAGGGGTGACTTCCCCAGAAGTAAATTCCGCTTCTGTCAACAGCTGGCAGCGTTGCAGCTCAAGATATGTTGTAAACAGCTTGGCATATTCAGGATGCTTCTCAGCAAAATCCTTGAACTCTTCTAAAAATAAAAGAATGAACAACATTATTTAAAACATGGGACTTGTTAGAGGTTCACACTAAACCAGGAGAAGGCAACTCGTGGGGTAAACCAGATAGGAATCACAGTTGAGCCAAGTCAACTTTATTGGGAGGCTATGTTGACAGAACTTTGCAGGTCTGAAAATAAAAATCTTCCCCCTGTCTCCTTTACAGCTGGAGAAACTAGGGAGGATCTCTTCTAGATCTCTTGCCCTGCCAGTTATACAGCTGTGGGCTATGCTACCTCTTATCTAGTTTATTGAAAAGAAGGACCAGGGGTGACACAATAGCAGTGTTCCAATATTTGAGAGGCTGCCACAAAGAAGAGGGAGTCAAGCTATTCTCCAAAGTGCCTGAAAGCAGGACAAGAAGCAATAGATGGAAACTAATCAAGGAGAGAAGCAACCTAGAACTAAGGAGAAATTTTCTGACAGTGAGAACAATTAATCAATGGAACAACTCTCCTCCAGAAGTTGTGGGTGCTCCATCACGGAGGTTTTTGAGAAGAGATGGGACAGCCATTGGCCTGAAATGGTATAAGTTTTCCTGCCTAAGCAGGGGGTTGGACTTCCAAGGTCCCTCCCAACTCTGTTATTCTGTTATCTGGTTGTTCCCTTTGCAGCATCTCCTCACCCCGTCTCCCAAGTTCTTTCCCTCATCACGCCATTACATCACACCCCCAAAGTCTCCTCCCAACCGTACCCCCGAATCTTGATTTCCTTAATTCCCACTTGGCTTCCTTACCATAGGAGAGCTTGTTAGAGTGATCAGCATCAATCTCCTTGAAGAGGTTCGAAACATCGAGGTCGGGAAGCCCAAGTGACGAACGGATAATTAGGGCGAATTCATCTTCTGTTATGGTGCCATCTTCATCAATGTCGAAAAGCTGGAGGAAAAAGAAGAAGAAGAGGGATTTGACTGGTCTGCTGGGAAGGAGGATAAAGCTCAGACATCTCAAATCAACCTTTGAATGCCTGGAAAACTCTTCCCAGATTTCTTTTAAAGCCGTCAGAGGAATAGCATTCTATCCACCCCTTTTGAAGACTCTGCTCTTCATCTTGGGTTGATGGAAGGCTTGGGTCCCATAAGGACCACCTTCCCTGCTATTAACTGCTCACTACTTTAGAGTCACGTAGCCCCATTCTCAGAAGAACGCCTAATACCACCCAAATCATGGCTTCCCCTCCAGGAAGAGCACCTTTTCTGATCAGAAGACAGCAGTGGTAATACATGTAGCAGTGCCAAGTGACAGCAACATCAGGAAGGAGGAGAAGCTGGAGAAGTAACAGAACCTGAAGGAGGAACTAAAGAGGATCTGGGAAATCAAGGCCAATTTGGTCCCAGGCAGCAGGAGCACTCAGGACTGTGTCTCCTAAGCTGGGAGATTGGATCCAATAGATCCCAGGAACACCTTCACAGCTTTCTATCTAGAAGAGTGCAGGGCTAGAAACAGCTAATACACAGTCTAGAACAGTGGTGGCGAACCTATGGCACGGGTGCCAGAGGCGGCACTCAGAACCCTCTCTGTGGGCACGCGCGCCATCGCCCCAGTCCTAGGCCTTCAGCTGGGTTTTATAAAACCTTTTCACTTTAGGCCTCCACCACCATGTGCAAAAAAAAAAAAAAAGGTTCAATCAATCAGCTAATTTCAAATTCTCGCGGGGAAAAAAAGATCTTGCAAAGTTGGAATTGATTGATTGAACTTTTTAGTCCCACCCAGTCTGCCATCATCACTGCAGCCACACCCAGCCAATGGGCCACACCCAGCCAATGGGCCACACCCAACCCACACCCAATAATGCATAAGTGGGTTTTGGGTTGCAGTTTGGGCACTCGGTCTTTAAAAGGTTCGCCGTCATTGATCTAGAACCCTCCAATTCCCAGGATTCCGGTAGAGGATCCCAGGTTGAGAAAGTTACAGACCACCATAGGAGTGAGAAAGGAAATAAATAAACATATGGCACAGAGTTTTGTGAAGCTTTCACCTAATGAGATCTAGATAATGAAAGTTTATATTTCTTAGTCGAAAAGGATGCTGTCATCCCCTTTGGAGTGCTATAGACCAGGGGTCTCGAAACTTGGCAACTGTAAGACTGATGGACTTCAACTCCCAGGATTCCCCAGCCAACCATTCTGAGAGTTGAAATCCACAAGTCTTACAGTTGCCGAGTTTGAAGACCCCTGCTATAGACTAGCAAGGTTGCCCTCACCCAATGTTTCCCAGGGATGATATGACAGGTGGCCAGGCTCTGCACAGAATCTCTCCACCCATAGATATGTTCTACCTGTAATTACAGATCTGTGCTGCACCTCGAGTCCTCAATTAAGAGGATTTACCTGAAATGCCATCTGGATTGTCTGCTCCGTGTTGGCAGGATTACACAGGACTGATAAACCGATCACGTATTCTCGGAAGTCTATGGTCCCATCGCCGTTCTGAACAAGACAATCACAAACGTCATTGAAGTTACTCAGTGATGCTGGCGTGTCTCTTTCCCGCACCCATTCGGTTGATGCCCTTCAAAACATCCATTGCAACAAGAAAGCAATTCTGACTTGTTTCCAATTTCTCCTGTGGTATACTATTTGTAGCTGGCTAAAGGTTTCTAGTTTCCTTAAATGGTTCCACCAGTTATCTTGACTCAAGGAACTGCAACAGAGACACAACTCCTGACTACTCGAATTTACTTTCCAGGCGAGCTTGTGAACACTCCTCCATTTCATACACCCCACTATAACTAAGCTCAACTAAATGCAGTTGAAATACTCAAACTAATTAGCAGCAGCGAGAATTGCATTTGCACAGTATTGGGAAAATGGAGAAACACCATCAGAAGAAGACATAATTAGGAAAATTTTAGATTGTGCGGAAATGGATAGGCTCACACTGAAAATGAAAGGGAAAGAAGGTATAGAATATTTCCAAACATGGGATAATTTTTATAAGTAGCTGGAAAAATGGAGTAGAAAGTAGAAATGGATTAATAATATTACTATTAAATATGTGAACTCAGAGAACACGTTGTTTATTAAGCACTAAAGATTTGTAATTATAAAAAATTAATTACACATACACACACACATACACACATACACACAGTAGTGGCCAAAATTGTGGAAATCTTTTGGGAAACATGTATTTTTGAGGTTTGATAGCTAATAACACCACTTGTTTTTTGAAGCAGTACCATAAAATTATATATCAATGGAAAGATAATTTAATCAAGAATGTAATGCAACAAAGTTTGTTCAATTATCTGTACTGTATTCTATGAAAAGTTATAGCCAAATAACCAGAAAAAGGAAGCACAACTTGCTTAGGTTGATATCAGGTAGCTTTCTTCAGCTGATTGTAGCCAATGAGCGTGAGTGTTTAGAGAGTCAATCAGGTGTCATCTTGTTTTGGCAATGAACTATTCAGATCACAGTAGGATTCAGTTATTGATGTCATGCATTGAAGCTGAGAGGAGGAAATTTGTCAGTGTGTTCTGTGATCGCTATCAAGTGGGTTGGGTTTTTTTGTGTTCTTTCATTTAGTGAGCTTGTAAAATGTAATAAAATTAAAGTAATGGTGCAAAGAGTTGACTGGTTGCCCAGAAAGTGATGTAAAATAGAATTATTAAGTGAATAAGGCTACAATTATAAAGAAATTAGAAGAAAAATTGGTGGAAACTTAACCAAAGGTGGCATTTCTACTGTATATACATACTCAAACTAATATAGTAACCATACCAATCTTGATGGCTGTGACCAGAGAAGAGTGTACCAAACATAATAATATAAGATATAAAATATCACGATAATGCAACAATTCATGACTGAATGTAATCAATGTAAGCAATATAATGAAAAACCAAAGAGTATAACCAATTCAGGCTGCATCCACTTTTGTTGCAGTTGTCATCCTTGAATTCATCCTTCTGAATTCATCAGAAGGCCTCAGATGTTACATGATATCTCTGTGCAGAGAACTTGCGTAATGTGTATATCATTGGGACAGATTCAATATTCGATTTGACTCAGGGGCAACTGAGGAAGGTCCAGGCAGAGGGAGACCCACCACGCAGAATGGACATTGTATGGAAAATAGGTGGTGGGAGCACTGAATTGTGCAAAATAAAAATGGGATATAAATATAATAATGGTGGTAATGAAAATAACAGCAGTAAAAACAGCAACCCAGTGAGAACAGATCCTTGGCAGATCCCAAAAGTCTGAACCAGATTTTATAAGAGCCAAGAGACATCGGATGTCATGGTTCTGACAGATGAAACTCTTCAAAGAACTTCGAGGCATCGTTTACCTTAAAGAATCTTTATTCGAGTAGCGTAGCATTGGCACTAACACAATCGAAGCCAAAAACTGACTGAGCACATAGTATCAAAGCACAATTCCCTCCTCTAATTAACTGTCAGAAATCACATTCTCCAATTAGTTTGAAATGCAGGCTTTCCTTCCAGTTCTTCAACCTGCCATTTCTTATCATCTCTTATTTCAAAAAACCTTGGTTCTCAAACTAGTTACAATATTGTTATGTCTAACTAAACTCCCATGCACATTCCTCCTCCTCCCCCCCCCCCCACTATCATCTAATTCTAACTCTAATTCTAAGAGTAAAACGTAAGGAGGAAAATGGCTGCATCTCCATATGTTGTCAAAGCAAGAACATCCGATGTTAGCAGCGTTGACATCGGATTTTGCAGAGTTATTCACTACGGAGTGGGTGGCGCCCTTGAAAAATCTTCCTGGCTTTGCATTCATGCCCAGAGGACTATACCCTGTTTCAGTCTGCCAGCTGCAGCACAGAAAGGGTTAAGCTTACAGACTTGCATACCAGCCTCAGGGGGAGGATTACATTCCTGGCTTCAAAGGAGAATGGAATGCAACCCACACTGGGGGCAGCATTTCAAAACTTCTAATTTCCTTCTTGAATGCAGGGAGAATCACTTCTGCTGGGGGGGGGAAAGGGTGGCAAAGGAAAAACAATGCTTTTGCTTTAAGAAAAATAAAGTTTGGATAACTTTTCCAGCAAGGTAGGTAGGCCTGGATTTTTGTCCGATTCGGTTCCTTTTCTGAACCCCTGAATGCAAACAAAAACACCCACCTGAATCATCCTTGCAAGATTACAGGTAGTTCTCGACTACCTGGGCTGGTAAGCCTTGCGAGGCAAAATGTGGACTAGGACACCTTCCAGATGGAAGCTCTGTCTGAAGCCCTCTCCTAACATTTTAATTGACCCCCCCAAGTCCATTTCCACAAACTTCCAGAGTTTATGACCATGTCGTCACAATTCCCTGCAAACACAAAGGAAGCCTCGATGCAGATTTTAGCTGCCAGGGAATCTCTGCGTCTCTTCACTCTCCAAAATCAAGAGTGCTTTGTTTTGAAGAGATGCAAAAACCTGGTTATAAACAAACAAACAAACAAAATACCCCACCGCTCAGGGACGGAAAAGAGGTCACGGCAACTGTTTGTGGTGTTAAGATGAACATCCAGAAAGCCTCCAAGATGCTTGTTTTTAAAGAGGTGTCCAGGAAACCCGTGGTTTCTCACCTCCCTTGATCTGCGAGGGCAAATTCTTGACTCTCCTTTGTAAAGGAAGTGGCGGGTTCAGGATTGCCATCCACCCACTTTCTCTGCTCCATGCGACATTCCAGCCGCTTGGAAGCTTGCCTTGAAGGGAAGGGAAGGGAAGGGCTGGATTTGTTGCTGCCTACGTTTGTCAGCAATGCTTATTTTGGCCTACGAAGATCAGCAGCTGCTCTTGTGACACAGCAGATAGCAGCACCTGGCTGACCACAGTTGATCCCAACCAGCCAACGCAAAGTCAGATCAGGCTATGACTTGGCAAGGGTACCACTCAGAAGCCTCAGAGCTGCAAGCGAGAGCAGTTAGGCAGACAACATCTTAGCCCCAAAGCAGAGGGAGGCTCCTTGGATGTGTTGCCAAGAAACCAGCCCATGAAATGATCAAGAGTGCTGTTTGACTCTCAAGGGAGACTTTGTTTTGCTTTCAAAGAAATATGCAGGAGAGAGAGAGAGAGAGAGAGAGAGAGACAGACAGACAGAGAGACAGAGAGAGAGAGAGACAGAGAGAGACAGAGACAGAGACAGAGAGAGACAGAGAACCAAAATGTGCATGCATTTCTGTATTTAAAGCAGGGACAAGCAATTAAAAACAAAGTAGTATTCGAATATGGCTCCCCGCCTCTTCAGAAAGATCTGCACTGGAAACGTGGCAAAGAAAAATTAAATTTATTCCTTGGCTAAAGCAGCTCTCTAACTACGCAACTACGTTTGCATCAAGTTCATTGGGTGAATCTTTAGCTCCTTGTAAGATTACCTTTTTTTTTCCTTTTTATAAGGATGGAATTATCCCAGTGGTGGGATTCAAATATTTGAACAACCGGTTCTCTGTGTGGATGCCACTTCAGGAATTCCATTCTGGGCCTGGGCAACAAAACATTAGCTACCGGTTCTGCCGAACTGGTGCGAATTGGCTGAATCCCACCACTGAATTATCCCAAAAAACATAAATGGCCCAAACCAACATAACGGACAACATCTGAGGCCATCCAGTCAAGCATTAAAAGGGAATGGAATTATCCTGAGAAACATAGATGGTTCAAACCAACTTAAGGCCCAACATCAGGTCCCACATTTAACAGAGTAACAATGATCAGTTAGAATCCAAAGAGACATAGGAGCAATTTCAAATGGATGGATGACTTCAGTGGACAGAGAGAATGATGTGGTCCTAGGGAGAACAAGGAAATTAGGGGGGATTATTAAAAAATATAATCCTGGGCATTCAGAGTTTTAACAAGGCCTGCAGCTGCAGGATCTGGCTGTCTACAATCTAGAAAGCTGCCCAGTTGGGTTCCTCAACTGAAACAAGGAACTGTTGTGGAACGGTAAATTATCCTCTGAGACTTTTGGCCAAGGACAGGATGCAGCTGCCACAATAATCATGGAGCAAGAAGTGAGACAATCCCCTTTTCCTCTGAGCTGGTTTGGAAAGTCTGATTCTCATATTATTTCCAACTAGAATTGGATCAAGAAGGTATCAAGACCAGTTTGCATAAAGCACTCAACCACCCCGGGTAAAGCCCCAAACCAAGTCAACACAATGGCACAGATGTGAGTCACAAAGCCCATCAAAATCAGTGAAAGGGAACAAGAACATTTTGAGACGTCTGCAGGATTCACTCAGGCCAAGGTTAGGATCTGTTCCAGAGGAGGTAGAGATGTTCTATTTGGGTCTGTTCGGGTCACCCAAGGACAACCACATCTAAAGTAGTTTTCCAGGTCAAAAACAAATAACCAAGTTTAGTCCAGGGTATCATTTCTCCACCTGTCACAAAGGCTCACAGCTTAAGATGGTCAAGAGTCTTATGTCAACCCACACATATCAAGCAGGATTTCTTTGGAAATCCATAGGCTTTTTTTTTTTTTTTAAGAAAAGTATAATAAAGCAAAGTATATAACTCCCTGCCACTTTTGACCAGACAGCTACAAAACAATCAAAGAATTCACAGTGTTCTCTTTTTGTTATAATCCAAGTTTATTTTCTCTTCTTTACAACAGACGGAAAAGATCTACTTTTGCTATGATTCCTTTCTTCAACAAACCGGCGTTCAGCAAAAACAAGAACCTGCTAACCCAGAAGCTGCAGATGCCATCTCCCTTTGGCTGCGTTTACACGACGCGTTGTTTTCCAAATCTCCCAGAGTGCTATTTCCATCATCCCAAGTGACCATTACTGAACTATGATGGTAACCTAGATATATGAATCTAAAGGCCAACAAGTTGGGAGACCCTAATCTTATTCCCTCAAAAATGAATTCAGGATCCCGAGTGCCCATCCATAATCTGAGGACAACTGAGATAATTGAGATTCCAGATTATGTTCAATAACAGAAACATCTGTAAATTAAAGTCAATTAGACTTTCCTTTTAAAAAAAAGAAAAAGAACTACCTTAACAAGACCAGGGATTATTTGGGGCTTCGAATCCCAAAATATCAATATAGGAGGAGAGGATAAGAACAATAGTGGAAACGAAATAAGGAAAGGAGATCAAAACGCGCTCTCCTAAAGCAGAGTGGGGAAAAAATTGAAATAATGATAATAACAGTTGCTTCATTTTGCACAACATAGCCACTAACCTAAGGAGAGCAGGCTATATTTAATTTTACAATAAAACACTGGGTTTTCCTCCCAATTTCCTATGAAATAACCCACAGGTTCCCGTCTACTTCCAACATTGCTAACATGAGTTTGCAACCTTAATACTATTGCAGAATTCAGGCACAGCCATGAACAAACAAACCGGACCAAAACATAAGCAATGAGCAAATACTCTTAGAAAACACATGCATTGGCTAATTTCAATATCCCAAGGTGCTATCAGCCCAAAATCACTCCCTGTAAGCAGGAAGGTTTATTTCAAGTCTGGGCAGAAGCAATTTTACTTCCCATCTATCCCTCCTCCCTCAACCCCCCCATCAATGGTATGGTCCAAGGAGAGCCAACCACTGCTTTGACGTTCCACCACCCCTTGCTGTTTTAAGAGTACATGGTAAGCTGCAACCACTCTTCTATGTTCATCTGGACTTTTCCATCACCACTTCGGTCCAGGGATTTGAAGGCCCGGAACATTCCATCCAGACGGACCAAGCAGCTGATGAAGTTGTTGAAATCCATGCTGCCGTCTTCATCGGCATAGCGACGGATCATCAGGGCGTAGAGTTGCTCGTGGAGGTTAAAACCCGCAGCCTTGAAAGTTGTGGGCAGATTCCTCATCTCAATTTTCCCTGCCGGGCCAGCATGCTCTTTGAAGGCGCACTGCCACTTCTTGATGTTGTTCCAGAGATACCTGAACTGGTAAAAGTCCAGCTTGCCGGTGGCGTCACTGTCCATGACAGCCACCATGCTTCGGCAAGTGTCCAGGCTGAAGCCTTCGGATTGCAGATCCTGATGGCGGGCCATCACCTTGTTGAGGATGTTCATCAGCTCGGTGGCGCACACTTCCATGTCATCGCCCGCCAGTTGGGTGAAGAGTCGTCGGAACTGGCGCATTTCCTCGCTTTCATTGGCCTCCACGTTGGCAAAATGGCTGCGAGGGGCTGGTGGGGGCTCTGGTTTGTACTGAGCTGCCGCTTCACTGATGATGTTCACAAGACCTCCGAGAAGACCCATAACGTTGCTGGCTTTGCTGCCACCACTGCCACCGCCGCCACCACCACTCGTTCCTCCTCCTCCACCACTACCTCCTCCTCCTCCTGCCAGGAGTCCACCAAGGCCTCGTATGAGGGCACCTCCAGTGCCTCCACCACCTCCCAGGTTCTTCAGGAAGGCTCCAGCACCACCACCTCCTCCTCCTCCACCACCACCACCTCCTCCTCCTCCTCCTCCTTTTCCACCACCACCGGTGGCCGCATCTAGCAAAGCTTGAGCAAGGAACATGGTGGAGAGTCCCAGAACCTGCAGCGTCTTTCAGAAGCTCCGAGTGTGTGTGAAGAGAGCAGAGCTGGGCGTATTCTGCAAGTACAGATTTGCTGCCAAAGGAAATTGCAATCCCTCATGTCCGCACACGTCATTTTCCACAGCTGGAATCTATTGTGGGCATGGGGCCTCGCCCAAGCCGAGGGAGGGTGGAATTTTCGTTCTACAAACTTGGAAGGGGGAAGACTTTTCAAGCAACCCTGATCTTGCCTCCCTCTTAAATCTTTTCTCTGGTTTGTTAGCTCTTTTTCTAAGAATCCTAGAGGCCACCCCCCCCCAGCTCAATACTGCAGAACGTCTCATCTGTTTTATATTATGTATTTAAAATTCTTTTTTTCTTTATACACACACACAGGATCTCTCTCTCTCTCTCTCTCTCTCTCTCTCTCTCTCTCTCTCTCTCTCTCTCTCTCTCTCTCTGTCACAAGCTTCATTTCTGCAAGCACTGCAATGCTCGTTTGTTTTAACCCTTGGGAGGCACAACACTTACTCTGTCAAAGAGAGTAAACAGCTCTTGCAAGACATCGGAGACCGGCAGCTTCAAATAGTTAGCAAACTCTTCGATCCCGATCCGACCGCCTTTGGACGTGCTGGCGATCCCTGCAAATTGATCCAGCTGCTCGCGGATGCTGTCCCATTTGAGACTATCCCAAAAGGAGGAGGCAAGGAGAGGAAGAGAAGGGGTGAAATGAAACAGCCACCACTTTTCAAGGGGAACCCAGTTCTGGAAGCCAGAATATATTATTAACTAAATGTGAAGCAATCCACATTTACCAGACAGAGACCTGTCTCTGAGAGTTATCATAATGACAAACACTCCTACACCAAGGAGAAAAGTAGCAAAAAAAAGAGAAGCTTCTGACCAAATATGTATGATGCATAACAAATCTGTGCAATTATGCAATTTGGCACCTTTGCAACTGTTGTGCCTGAAAACTCCGCTCTTAATGTTTGGCATATCCATAGCTTATTGGATCTTTAAATGTTTAAGGTTCCCTTCCTTCCTTCCTTCCTTCCTTCCTTCCTTCCTTCCTTCCTTCCTTCCTTCCTTCCTTCCTTCCTTCCTTCCTTTTCTTTCTTTCTTTCTTTCTTTCTTTCTTTCTTCTTTCTTCCTCTCTCTGTCCCTCTCTTTCTTCTCTCTCTTGCCCTTCCTTCCTTCCTTCCTTCCTTCCTTCCCTCCCTCCTTTCTCTTTCTTTCTTTCTTTCTTTCTCTTTTCTTTTTCTTTTTTTTTCTTTTTCTTTCTTTCTTTCTTCCTTCCTTCCTTCCTTCCTTCCTTCCTAATAGGAATCTGGCCTTCTGAAAAGCCAAGTACTGGTCTTCACCCCCACCCCACTCCCCAAAAATCTATCTGCACCCCACAGAAGCCCTTCTGGCATTGAAAGAAGTGAAAAGAGACACCAGAACAAAAAGAAAGATAAAAGCCACTGCAGTCCAAAACTTTGCATCCACTTGCTCCAGGGGAAAAAAAAGGACTCAAATGGGCTGTCAAGAAATTTCCCTATGGATTTAAAGGACCATCGGCTTTCTGGGAAATGGTCACTATATTTCAACCCACCCATTGGAAGCTCTTTGATAATCTCTAAAGATGCCTACAACGCTCTCTAAGAAGTCCAACTGAGCCCACCTGGGAGGTTTCTCCCAACCTTAGGAAGGTTTCGTGTCAGCTTCAATGTCGCCGATTCCTATTTATAGCCAGAGAAAGTTCAACCGATGAGCAGTAGATGCCAGAAACCAAATCCCAGGCTGGAGATTCAGGATCATCAGCTTTTCCCTGGCTCCCTCCAAGCTCTCTGGCCAGGCAGGGAACATCCAGTTCTCGTCCTCCACATATATTATTTATTTACACCCCACCTTTATTATTTTTATAAATAACACAAGGCAGCAAACATACCTAGTACAGGAAACCCTAGGCCAGGGGTAGGCAACCTTGGCTCTTTGATGACTAGTGGACTTCAACTCCCAGAATTCCTGAGACACATGGTTCAGCTAGGAAACCTCTCCCTTTCCCCGTCAGCATGGCTGGCTCAGGAATTCTGGGAGTTGAAGTCCACGAGTCATAAAAAAGCCAAGGTTGCTTAGCCCTGGCCTAAACTTAACAACAGCTCATTTAATGACTTGTTCAGAGTTACAACATCGCTGAAAAAAAGCGAGTTATGGTCATTTTTCACACTGACGACCGCTGCAGCATCCCCCACGTGGTCAGGTGATCAAAATTCAGAGTCTCGGCAAATCAACTCGTATTTATGACCTTTGCGGTGTCCCGGGGTCACGTGATCCCCTTTTTACGACTTTCCGACAATGAGGAAGTTAGGGTTCACTTAACAACCCTGCTCCTAACTTAACAACCGCAGAGATTCACTTAACAACAGTGGCAAGGAAGGTTGTAAAAAGGGGCAAAAGTGTCTTAACAATTGTCTCACTTAGCAGTGTAAATTTGGGGAGGGGGTCAATTGTGGTCATCAGTTGAGGGCTAAGTGTACAGGGAGTCCTTGGCTGACCACCACAATTGAGTCCAGAATTTATGTGGCTAAGCGAGACATTTGTTAAGTGGCTTTTGCCCCATTTTACAACCTTTCTCGCCATGGTTGTTAAGTGAATCACTGCAGCTGTTAAATTAGTAACCCGGTTGTTAAGTGAATCTGGCTTCCCCCATCAACTTTGCTTGTCAGAAGGTCACAAAAGATGATCACGTGACCTCAGGACGCTGCGACCGTCATAAATGTGAGTCAGTGGCCAAGAATCCAAATGTAAGTCCCATGATCCTGAGGATACTGCAACAGTCATCAGTGTGAAAAAAGGGCTCTGAAAAAATGACATAATAATAATAATAATAATAATAATAATAATAATAATAATAATAATAATAATAATAATAGCAGCCTTGGGTGCAATCCCAAAACATCTGGAGCACCACTTGAACACCATTGGCATTGACAAATTCACCATGAGTCAATTGCAAAAGGCGGCCTTACTAGGAACTGCTTCCACCCTGCGACGATATCTGTAATACCATCAAACATCCACATCTGCCTATCCCAGGTCCTTGGTAAGGACTCGATAGGTAGACAAAATGCCAAATCCAGTCTGAACATCTGGCTGACTGTGCGATGATCAATAATAATAATAATAATAATAATAATAATAATAATAATAATAATAATAATAATAATAATAACAACAAATTTTCCAAAGCGCCTGGAGGCAGGACAAGAAGCAACGGGTGGAAACTAATCAAGGAGAGAAGCAATCTAGAACTAAGGAGAAACTTCCTGACAGTGAGAACAATTAACCAGTGGAACAACCTGCTTCCAGAAGCTGTGAATGCTCCAACACTGGAAGTTTTTAAGAAGAGACTGGACAGCCATTTGTCCGAAATGGTATAGGGTTTCCTGCCTGAGCAGGAGGTTGGACTAGATGACCTTCAAGGTCCCTTCCAACTTTACTATTATTATTATTATTATTATTATTATTATTATTATTATTATTATTATTATTATTAACAACAACAACAATAACAACAAC